TTACAGCACTGGAAGTGCCTTTTAAAAAATATCTACCAAACATTCAAATCACTGGTACTTCTCTCTCTATTTAATTTGAAAAAAATAAAAACCAAGCACTGATTACTTGAAGAGATGCATTGTCGTAACGCAGTAAAATCTTCCCAAAAATGTAATCCAGTGACACCAGACATGTAAGAAACCATTTGTTTCAGGCACAGAGTTGGAACAACAACCTACAGAAGAAAATCTCACACAGACCTAGTATCGTATTGCACGTTACCACCCTGAGTGACGACTGAATGATAAAGCCTACTTCCTCTATCAATTTTTACAGATCAGAAACATAATCAGAACAAGTGGTGCTGACCAAGCCTCTTCATATACTAACCAACTTCTTACCTGATTAATAGCTTTTTGACTGAAAAGCAACACCATTTTGTAAGAAGCGTACTGGCATTCAGTGATGTGCACTTCTTGAATTTTCCTGGGGCATAAGAAACTACACATCATGAAAGATGCCAGAGCCTTTACAAAGACATAAATCACCTGCTGTGAGAAGGAAGGATTTATTAGACATTTTCTACAAAAATAATAGCTGTAACTTTCTCATATGCAAGTGTTACCAGCTGTGGCTACTACTGTCATTATTCAATTATTCATTACAGCCAATAGAAATATATTCTCTTTTGCTTTTGCCTACAGAGTGGTACAGTGAGAATTTTCTGTCTGTAACTAAATCTCCTGTTTGAAATGCCATATAATTCAAGACATCATATCTTTGAAGGGCTTTTCAAAAATCCTGCCTTCACTAGTCTCTTGGATGCAGCTTTATTGTATAATCAAATGCCCTTTCAAGTATATTTACCATCATAGGAACAGTCCAGTTATTTTTGACAGATATGAATCTCTACAAAGACATCTACACTGTAAAAATAAGCACTTCTACCAGAATTTTACTTCCTTTCAGACTCCTTAACAGAACAGTTTGCTAAACTGTTACAGATCACATGCACATTTGTACATTTCCATCAGATTATATTTATTGGTAAAAAATATCCACCAAAGAATCTCATTCTCCTCCATCAACTTTTCTCTGCTTTTTAATGCAATTGATTGTTTTCTTCGACAAATAAGGGATTGTTCACCCCCAGCCTGTCTCCACCTGCTATTTAAAAAGTCCACATGCCAAGTGAGTAAGAAAAAACAAGCAATTAACAAATAAGGTAGCAATCCTATTTGCTTCTTGTTCTAAACCTTATTTTTTCCTCTCCCTAACCCAAAGTTAAGTTACACCTTGTCTGTTGTAGTGTCTCCTATATTAAAGCCCTAATTCTTTAGCTCTTAATAATATGATGAATCATGCCTTGATTTGGATGAAACCACAAACAAATCCAACACAAATAAAGAACTACACATTTTTGTTTATGCTACTTTATAAGACCTCAGAATTACTCTTTTTTATCATCTGTTAAACACTTAAGGACATAGCTAACACATTAAAAAGAATCGAAATAATACTGGAAATCTAATAGAGTGGAGAGGTAACAATAGAGAAGGTTCCTGGAGTGTGTGGAAGTTAACTTCCAGACCGAGCCGCTGAGCAAGACAACTAAAAAAGCAGCCCCGCAGGAGCTCTTGTTTGTGAACAAAGACTGGTGGGTGACGTGATGATTGGAAGGCATCTTGGGCTCAGCAGTTATGAAATGACAGAGTTTGAGTTTTCAATTCTTGGAGAAATTAGGAGAGGGGTCAGCAGAACTTCTACCTTGGCCTGTTTATGACACTCTTTGAGAGAGCCCCTTGGGTTTTTGCCTGAAGAGCAAAGGAGTCCAGGAATGCTGAACATATTTAAGAAATCCTAAAGGTGCTGGAGCTGGCCATCCCCACATACTGAAAGACAAGCCAGAGGGGAAGAACATCAGCCTGGCTGCACAGAGAGCTTTGTCTGGAGCTCAGATAACAAAAACAAGTTTATGACCTTTGGAAGAAGGGGCAAGCAACTCAGGAGGACTACAAGGGCATTGTGAGGTTATGCAGGCAGAAAACCTGAAGAGTCAAAGCCAAAGTAGAACTTTATCTAGACACTGCTGTAAAACACATTAAAAATACGTTTCTATAAATACATTAGCAAGAGAAGGAGGGCTAAGAATCTCCATTCTTGGCAGAATATGGGGAATAACATTGTGACAAAGAATGAGGAAAAGGCTGGGGCACTTAATGCCTTCTTCGTCTCAGTCTTTCATAGTAAGACCAATTGTTCATTGGGTACCCAGCCCCCTGAGCTGGACAACAGAGACAGAGAGCAGAATTAAAGCACCAAACATCTGAGGGAAAATGGTTGGTAGTCTTTTACACCACTTAGATACACAGAAGTCTATTGGAAAGAACAGGATCCATCCAAGGGTCCAGAGGGAGCTGGCAGCAGTGCCCCACCAAGTCACTTTCCATCATTTACCAGTAGTTCTGGCTCACTGGGTAAATCCTAGATAACCAGAGGTGGGCAATGTGACACCCATTTACAAGAAAGGCTGGAAGGATGTTCTGAGGAATGACAGGCCCATCAGCCTGACCTCAGTGCCAGGGAAGGTCATGGAGCAGATTGTCTTGAGTGCCACCAAATGGCAGATGCAAGACAACCAGGGCATCAGGCCCAGCCAGCATGCTGTAAGAAAGGCCCTGTTTGACCTCCCTGACCCCTTCCTGTGACCTGCTTTGTGGATGAGGGAAGGCCGTGGATTTTGTCTACCTAAACTTACTAAAGCTTTTGACACCTTTTCCCACAGCATTCTCCTGGAAAAACTGGCTGGGTAGGTCTTTTAGAACTCAGTTACTCAGCAAGCCATTAGAATGACACAGGAGGAATGAACCATCAAGTGCATTTTTAGAATATTTGTTATCTGAAGAGATTTACAAATAGTAGTAGTATTCAATTTTGCTATTCTACAGAAATGACATTTAGTTGAATATTAGAGTTCCATGTTAAAACAGGATTCAAGGCAACATAATTCAAAAACCCAAATGATGGTACCAAGCTAAAGAGCTAAAATGCCTAAACCAGTGCATACCCCAGAAAGGGTAAATTAATCCTCCGGTTTCCCTTGTCATTAGCAAAGATATGGCCCCCGAAATATATAGTGCAGGAACAGTATTTTGTTAGATTTGCAAAATGCAAAAAATTAAATGACTGACAGATATTTCCCACTGTATAATTTGTAGCTTATGAAAAACTTATGAACTTCATGTTTTATTTTGTTCAGCTTGAAAACATACACATGGAAAATCTCTATCTGGATTTCAAACTGGAATCTATCTAAAATCTATCAGGATTTCAAACTGATTTTAGTTAAAATTATCATCTTCCTACTGAACTGATGACAAGACTTGTACTAGTCAGACTTTCACAGTTAGATTTTTCATAGACTTTCATTCGTAAACAGAATGGTTTCTATTCAGAGCCAAACTAGTGAAAAGCAGAAATAATAAGAAACCATTCAAATCAAAAACCAAAGCTCCATTACAACTTTATGGTAATTATGATTAATCCCTGCATAGCTATTCTTTGATCTGAGCTTTTTTCTCAGTCTATTTCAAGATAACTTGCACACTGTTATTTCTCAGGCAAATGTAGAAGAAAACAGGAAAACACAGTTTAAGATGTACACACTAAAACTTTTCCTTTCTAAAACCCTGAGTGACATACTCCACTGGGAAAAAGTGCTACTGAAATCTTCTATGAACGGATCTGTCCAAACAGAAGTTTCTGGCTGGAATATGGAGTTTGCTAGACTAAGGACAGAAGTCTTACTGTGTTAAATGACATGATGGTTTTACCCTTGACATACACAAGACTTTATGAAGGAAACTTCTGATTTAAAAAGTTCTCATCTCATCTGAACTGGTGTTAAAACTAATCAAATGATCAAGGTGGTCCTATGAGTAAGTTATGCTACAAACCCTGATTGTACTGTAAATTCTCCAAAAAGCTGCATTTCCTCAGCAAGTTTCCTTTCATTGCCTTTGCACAGAAAATATCTCTCTGACATGACCAATGCATTCATTTAATTTTTGGTTTATATTTTATCTTCCAATTTATTTTGGTTAGAGGTAGAATTATTCTGTTAAAAAATGACCTGATCCTAGATGTAGTTTATTTAAATTTCAAAATGAAAAGCTTACTAAGAACAGATAAGATTGATTACTCCTTCCAACTTAGCATAATTGTATTTCAGGTGAACATCAATTTACTTTAAAGGACACTTCTAAGTAGCAGGCTGTATCATACATAATTCATCAATCACAGCTGCCTGTAACATGATTTACTCAAGCAGATTTCAATGGAATAGAGGGAATTGCATTGTTTTTTATGCTTTGGCTTGTTTGTTTTTAAATAGTTTACGAAACACTCCTTTGTCCTGAATTATTGCTGAAAGGAGTTCATCCTTGGTAATCAGCATGTTGAATTTCTTTCTCTTTCCATAGAAATGTTACCTCTTTAAATTTCTTTCAAAAGACAGAGTGAGTTTTCAAAACATCGTTAAGGCAGAGAGCACTCCATGCTTATTGAAGGTAAAAATAAAGCTCAAGAATTTTGCTACGGAGGAAAGCATGGCAAAATATTTATCTGAAAAGCATTATTCATTTTAGGGCTGTTTATTTGCCAGCTGGCTTATATTGTTATTATTCGTTAGACCAGCAGTGAAACGCAGGTGAAGAGAAGTAGTTACTTCCTCAGCTAGTCCTTCACATATTTGTCATATGGATAAAGTGGCTTTTATGTGGCACTCTACACAAAACTGTGTACCAGTTGAAGTACAATCACTTCATACATCAAGAAATACAGGTGAAACTGCATCTTCAATCAAATTCAGCTTCAGGGACATGGTGGTACTTCAGATGGTCCTAAGGTAAAGAAACATTTCCAGAAATTGATGCAAATATAGCTTCAAAAGAAAAAAGAGGGAGCAAGAGAAACTGCTAGAAATACACATCTACAGAAAGATGGAAATGCCTTTACTTACTTGTAAGCCCATTTGAAACACAGAGTGACCCATAAAGCCAGCCAACATTCGAATCAGAGCTGCACCCTATGGGAAATAATAGAGAAATAAAGTTACCAGTTTTGAATTCCAATATAACACAATAAATACACTCAGAAGCAGGCATTTCCACCCAACACTCATATGCCTGAAACCTGTAACTTATACAATCTTTATTTCTGCTAGAATGAAAGAGAGAGAGAGGGAGAGAGAGAGAGAGAGAGAGAGATAAGATAATGCAAATGCTTACTAGGAAAAGTGAGGAGGCAAAGTGATAATAAGTGTTAATAAGTGATAATAAGCATTAATATCCTGCCCCATATGTTGAATAAGGCACAGGTCAAACAACACACTCTCCCTACTGCTGGAGCATGCCTGTGTCAGTTCCACTGGTGACTGACCCCAGCCCTTCTATGCACTCAACAGAAAGGCCCAGTTTTAACTGAGAGCAAATAAATAGTGTCAACTGCAAATTCTATCTCAGTGATTATCCACAATACTTTTATCTCCATTACACTATTGTACATCAGGATTCAGTGATACTACTTCCCTTTGTAACACCTTCAAGATCTGGGGACTAAAAGCAAATAATTTCCATTAGAATTTTATAAGATGTGGATATATATTTTTGACCTATTAATAGGTTATTTTCTAGACTATCGTGCAAAGATACTTGTACAGCACTCTTTCCCTACTTTTAGCAGTTCTTAGCCTCTTCCTCTTCAGGCAAAGCATAGAGATCTAAAAGACAAGTGATTCTAAATCCCAGTACTTACTGCAAGAAGCAGACAGATACTTGCAAGAGCAGCTTTTTATAACCATCCTTGTGTCTTCTCACACACTCTCAGAAACACAGTTGCTGTGTATTTTCCCTTTGCCCAAGTGCTCTATTTCAAGCAGAAATAACTTTGCAGATGTGATCATTTGGCTATAATATCTGATGTGACCATTTAGCTATAATATCCCACTTTACAATATCATTTCAAGGCAACCAGTCTTCCAATCCCAATATATAAATGTTTTACTTAGTACTGATCACCATACAAGAGGGAGGACACTTGTGATTGCAAATCCATGAATTAAAGGCTTTAAGAAAACATGATGCTAGAACTCAACCACCTCATCTAGAGATGAAGGTCCATAAATTAGGTTAACACTCAATCAGACAATAATAAAGAGATGAAGGTCCATAAATTAGGTTAACACTCAATCAGACAATAATAAAGAAAGAGGGAAGATTACATATATTCAAAAATCTACAGATTCTAAAGCCAAAATGACTTATATAAAATTTGTTCTGCAATAATTTAGTTATTTAGGCAAAAAACCCTATGGTTTTTCTTTCTATTTTAGAAAATTCAAGATCTGAATAATGTTTCAGAGTACTATCTAATGTGTCACAACTACTGTTTACTCTCACAGTGAAACTACACACCTCTTTACTAATTGGAAGATATCTAGTTTCATTTACTTGAATTTATCTAGCTTCAGCTTTCAAAACAAAACTATGTCTTTTCCTGCTAAATTAAAGTTCAGGATAGTCTGGAAATTTAACTTTTGTCCAATTTTTAGACCATTTTACACATGTTCCACTGATTTTTTTTTAATACAGTGAGTATTTTTAAATACTGAATGGATCTGTAATAAACAACACTTGAAATAATGACATAAATCAAAAATATTTGTAAATTATTAGTAAGTTGTAAGAAAACAAAGTCCTTCATATAGGCAGCAAAACCAAACACTATATAGGTTGCAGAGTAACTGAGCTGCTTTTAGGAATTGAATAGTGAATAAACCAAAACAGGATTTTTGTACTATTAACACTAGGGTATGTTATTATGGTGGTATATAATCTTACTGGAACACAAATCATGTCTGGAACACATTGCAGAATAGGAAGTAACACCTTTCAAAACAGATTATTACCTGTGCAGACAATACCATAGGTCAGGAAACATTATTGCCCTTATATTACTAGAGAAACAGATTGAGTGAAGTTCTCAGAGACATTTAAGTAGATAAACAGTAGATAAATCTGTTTAAGCAGATAAAGATTTTTTTAATCTCATAAATAGGTAAATCCTACTTATTCTGTAAGTAACTTGGTCAGGGCAATCCAAAACATCTGTAGCAGAAACAAAAAACCCATGAAACATACCAGACAAAATCCACAACAAAATGACATTTTTCCATTCATCGCACATCTTTTTTCCTACTCACTATTTAATATTCCAGGATGCCCTGGTTTCTTCCTCACAGTTAAACTTCACATAGTAATGAAAGACATATATAAGCACTTGACTCTACTGACTTCTGTAAAAAGTAAGCAAGCTAATAGAGTCCTTTTTTCTATCCAGAGACCAAGAACTATAATGTACATGTAAAGAAATTACAGAATTCTCCTCACAGGTAACATTTAGACACATGTTGGATGGCTGGTCATATTATACAGCAGACAAAATAAAACAGCAAGTAAAAACTGAATGGAGGCACAAACACAGGACTATTCTCTCAAGATAGACCTCTTTTCACAGCTACTTTAGAAGTACTTTCTACCAATTAATTACCTTCAGGAAACTCAGAAACCCTACTTAGAGCTTACAGAACAATAGGCTTGTCACAATTCTGCCATCTTCCCCACTCAGGGAAAGCAAATGCTTTCTCGACTTGTTTCAGGAAGGGAATGGATTCAAAAAAGCAAGGGAACCTTAAGAGGGGCAAAAGTGTCTTCGAGAGATGGGAGAAGAAACAAGAGCAAATGAAGCCCTTGGTGTGGAGAGCAAAGAAATGGGAGGAAACCATTCATTTCATCTTTCCTGAACTTTTGAGAGTAGGCAGAACAGAGAACCATAATACATTCATAAGAAGCACAGAAGCTCTCCAGACTTTCACAGCTCTGGAAAGCAGAGCAGGATAAGGCAGCAAACACTGGCACTCTGACTAGGGAGGAAGCAAAACAGGTTTGCAGGCAGAAGTACAAAAAGCAAGAGGTATAGAGAGTAACTGGCATAAAGAAGAGTGGCTTACTGAAAGGAGAAGCTTGGAAGATGACCCTAAACAGAGGGAGGTGGGAGGTGCAGAAGGTATGTGCAGTAAGTTCAGTTATAGGAAAAACAGAATACATAGATGGAGTGCCACACCTTCTAAAAGCTTCTTGACCTAGACCTAAACCTACAGAAAAATCCCAACAAATCTGTCCTGCTGGAGTTGATGCTCTTTGGAACCTATCAGCATCACTCTCTGAACACCCTGACATGCAAGGAGCCTGCTCCCCACTTGAATCTCAGAGCCACTTCTGTTTCGCCAACCTTTGTCCAATAGAGGACCAAACAACACAGGATGTCTTGAGAAGCGAACTTGCCTCTCCTGCTGGGCAGGATGACTGTTTATTGATGATTTAAGTGCTTTCCTCCAGGCAGTGGATGACTCAGTACCTTGTCAAGAGGTAAAGCACACTGGTTTAAGAGGTCTAGTGGAAAGCAATTCTTTCCTATTCAAAAAACGTACCTAGTTCCTGTCAGTGTAAAATCTGACTTGCCTTAAGCCATTGTACCCTATCTTAATTTGTCTACCCAGACAAATACACTAGTTATTCATCCAATGATTAATGGCACTACCTGGGTCTGGTGAAGCACTGCTCATTAGCAGATCTCACTAAGATTAATGCCAATATTCTGCAAATTAAAAGGAAACTGTGGCACACCCTAGTGAAATCACTTGCCAAAGATCACCCAGATCCTCATATAACCTATACGCTCCTTGTATAACCTATGATACAGCTGAAGCTTTCTCAGCCTCAGCATTGATATTCCACTGCTATAGGAAAGGAAAGTAGAACATGTTGGCTACTTCAAGGAAATTAGGTACATAGAGCCCTTTTTTGCAAAGTGCTCTTGGGAAAAGTCTCACTCATGGACAGTTAGCCAACACTGCCTGAAGGGATGAAAGTTTATGCACTTTCTTCCCCTGAAGAAACTTGGATACTCACAACCTGGTAAAGACAAGCTATAACCAAACTTAGAAGAATTCCTCTGTACGCAAACTGAACATGTCTTTGAAATCTAAAAAATGCAGAGCTGAGCTAAGGTATTCAGTCCAATTTTCTCCATGTAGCCTAATTCTCTCCATGCCAACACAAAATGATGTGATTTTATCCTTGATCCCAGATTAGTTTTAACTAATTTTTAAAGACCCACTTCTACATCTTGATCCTCTTATGTCGTTACAGATCACAATTACTGTAAGTCAATTTAATTCTACAACTTATTGAATATCTCAATTTTATTATACTTGAAATTCCTTAATTAATTGTTTCACTTGCAACTTGAATCTTGTAAAAGTTTTTTAATGCAAAAGATAGTACTGAATGGAATTTTATTTAACAAGAAACAAACTAAGTCTTATGCATGAACCCACAAGAACATGACTACTACTACTACTACAATACAGTACTGTGACAGAGCCACACAGGAAGTGATACACTTGATTCAATGCAGGTATTTGTAGCACCTGTGACTATAATCACTTTAGCTGTTTAGACTTCCCTTACAGTTGATGGGCTTTACGAGTCACCTCTGGATGCACTTTAGCTAATCTTAAAGTAAACCTCAGGTGGGGGGAATTGTACTCTAAAAGCACTCACCTCTTGTAATTCACTCCAAAAGCAGGCTTGAGTGACTAGCTCATATGTACACATCTGTGCCGCAGACATCTAAAGTGCAGTGAGATTCATTCAACTGCATTGTCCAAAAAGACCATACAGAGATTGATTCCCTGTTCTGGGGGAACTCCTGAATTGTGGAGGTACAAAACCAGTGTGATCCTTTCATACATGTAGTCAAATAACAAATATCATCTCTCGCTTTATTGTACACAACATACACTTTTGCTTAAGAAGACTAGCAAGGGTAGGTATTCAACAGAAAGCCCTGGAGAGAGGGCAGAGTGCCTCCTAGCTGAAGGTAGATGCTCTATCCTGAACAGAAAGCAAAGAAGAGCACTTGAAATAAAGAACTGGTGAAGCAGTTGCAGGGAAGGGAACAATA